ACAACAGTAATATTACCGTCAACCACAGTAATATTACAATAATAGACTGTAATATTATTACGTTACTCTGTGAATAACTCAAACAAACAAAAAAAATCCAAACAAAATAATAATATTGATGTGGTTGACAGCAATATTACTATAACAACAGTAATATTACCGTCAACCACAGTAATATTATTGTGTTTACAGTAATATTACAATAGTAGACAGTAATATTATTACGTTACTCCATGAATAACTCAAACAAAACAAAAAACCCAAAAAAATAGTAATATTGATGTTGTTGACAGTAATATTATTGTGTTTACAGTTATTTACTGTCAACGACAGTAATATAATTACTTTGTGTAACACCCTCCATGTCGTTTATACAATTAAGAACAGTTTTTTTAGAAAAATGGACTTTATTAAAATTTCCGGATCCTATTTGATCCTTCAGAAAATAAGTTTGGAAATCGTCAAAGCATTTTTCTTACTTCAAAACATAACTCACATTTGAAAGATAATATAATTTTCATAAAGAGTGTCACTTAAACATGAACGGAGTTTTAAATCAATACTCGTAATACAACGGAAGATAAAATAACTTTATTTTACATACGCCTCGGTTTAATAGACTAGATTCCTAAATCAGAGTACATTATAAATGCATTTATCAACTTCTCCAGTGATACATTTTAAAAAGAAATTGACTATTATAATCCTTTAAAACACTCGATTGACATTAAGGCTCGTAATTCCTCGAACTCCGCTCCACCAGCCTACATGACCATTTTTAGAACATCAACCTTGATATGGACTAGAGTTTCCCTGTTTAACATGCACTCACAAAGTGTACTCACATATACAAAATGTTATAATAACATGGGGATGCAACGACCCAATAGCTATAGCACATATATATAGACATAAAGTCCCTATAGTATGTTGTAACAAATTTAAACACGTAGATGCAATATGACGGGATACCTATCAGATTCATAATATGGTTATCGGTAATAGACGTCGATATTCTGAGCCCGTTATTAATGGAAGTTATCCACTCTATAGTCTATAGTACCGTAGTTGGAATACCGGCCCCTCCGTATTTCCGTGTCTACTCGACCGATAGCCATATTCCCTATATTGACCATGCGATATCATAAATGACAAATCATATAAACAATTCAAAACGCATAAATAAACATTCTCATACTTTATGTCAACACAATTACTATAATGTGACGGTATCCCGATCAGATTCATAACATGATTATCGATAATAGACGTCGATATTCTGAGCCCGTTTTTAGGGGAGCTACCCACTCGAGTCTATAGTACCGTAGTTGGAATACCGGCCCCTCCGTATTCCCGTGTCTACTCAACCGATCCATGTTAAGATTCTGACTTTCCTATACTGACCATGCAATATCATAAATGACAAATCATTCGACTCCAAATATATAACCATGTTAGATCGAACTTGCACTTATCAGAATAAACACATAACCACATAACTTTTTTTGATAACTAAGTTGAGAAGGGATAAGAATGTAGAGAATAAGTTGAGTTCATCATCTAAAAAAAGGAACATTTGGGCCCTTGACAACTTGAAATTTGATAACTTTTTTTGATTATGTCATTCGTTGTTGAGTAAACTTAAGTTTTAAGCTTAGCGTTTTGATTTACTACGGTTCAGTTTTATTTCGAATGTTATTACGTTAAATTTGAGATAAAACTTTTTTTTTTCTTTTTTCTTTCCGTTTCTCAATGTTTCAATTTTTTTTTTATTGTTGTTATGTAGATAACATATAGATGTTTTATTCACTTTTATGGCTGATATTCGTGCAACGCACGGGTGAAGAACTAGTAAGGGTAAAAAAGAAGACACATTATATAAACATCAAACAGAAACTGTGACACCATTCCAACAAAGACACATTAATCAAAAATCTAGTCTGGACTTTGAAACAGTCCATTTTCTTAAGCAATATAAATCACTTATGTGGTCCCCACCCACTCCTTTTTTCCTAAGATGAGGAATTTAGTACTAGGTCCCGCCAACAAAGCCAATAATTAGATTTATTGCATTTAGCCCCCCTATGTTATAAATTAACAAAATATATCCCATAATTTAATTTTATCAGACAAACAACCCCTGAAAAACACTATATATAGGATTATGTGCTACAAAAAATTGCATCGTAGAATATTTTTTTGCTGATATTTAATAACATGTGAAATTTTATAGCAATTCGATATAACTCAAAGATACTGATAAAGGCCTAAATTAAATGGAAGAGTACGATGACCTAAATCAAATGAAAGCCACTCATAAAGGCCTATTTATTTCATTTAACACCACTATATTTACTAATTTCTTCAAACAAAAAATTATGATTTTTATTAGGAGAAAATCAATATGGTTCAATTATTTTAGCAAATTACCACTAAAAAACTCACAATCTAAGATGTTGTGCGCTAAAAAAATACAACATTGGAAGATTTTACTAATATTAATAACACGATTTTTATTTTTTATTTTTTATTTTTGAACAATTCAAAACTATAAAAAAAATCCACAATTCGGTCGAGGAAAAGACAGAAATGGAGAAATGAAAAAAAGAAAAGGGGAAAAGAATCTAAGTTGAGAAGGGATAAGAATGTAGTGAATAAGATGAGTTCATCATCTCAGAAAAAGGACCATTTGGGGCCCTTGACAACTTGAAATTTGATAACTTTTTTCATCTATAGCAATAATATTGCATCAAACTTTCTCAATTTGGAAGACATACACATAATTATGAAATTACTTCTTATATAATTGTAGTCTTTTATATAATATATAAATATCTTAATTATTGAGTTTGTAACTAAAAGTGGATCATAGAAACTACTGATTTGCCGATTCATATTGTATTTGCTAATGTAAATTATTTAAAGTAACAACACCTCGAGTGGGTTATTAAATGGGCTATCAAAACCTTTAACCACCATTTTCATACTAAAAAAATAGTAATTTAATTCCAATAGAGTTATGAAATAAGGGTTGTATTTTGATATTTCATCTTTCGAAATGTAAAAATACTTCACGCGGAATAAAATATCAAACATGAGTTGTGAATTTAACGACCTCAGTGTCCATTTGGAAAATGACATATGAGAATTAGATATATAAATCAATTTAATGATTTTTAATTAACATCCACTTAATACCTATGGTTGGATATCACATAAATATTTGCAAAATCATTTTGATACTTTTGAGTTGGAGTTGCTTTAGTTGTGTACTTAATTATAGTTATCAAAATTATAGAGAAATACTTATTAGTGGAATACAATATATAGTATTAGGATCATTATATATTTTAAACAAAACAATTGATATTCTTAATTTTTTGTATTAAATAAAGTGAACAAACGAATTTAATACTAAAGATTTAGAATAGCATAGTTATATTTTGAAATATATAAAATCAATATTTTTTGTATCGATTGATTAAACCTAACTTATGTCCTCCAATTTATTAGTATAATCATGAGAGAGTTTGTATTTTAATTAGTATATAATTGAAAAAAAAAATCAATCATAAAATTAATTGTCACTGGATTCGGTGAAAAAAAAAATTAAAACAATAACATGAAATTCATGTAGTATAATTTTCAATATGGTAAATAATTGGGATAATATTACTGCACACATGGCAGGAAAAAAAATAGTGTCAATTTTCGCAATATAGTAAATTCGAGCATGTATCTTTCTTTTATACAGATAATGGTAATATATAATATTAAATTACTACAAAAAGAAAACATAATCTGGTTATGTTCATGTAAAATGTATAATATATTAATATCAAATGATTTAGTCTGTATATTTTTTAATATAAATCCAAATTTATTAATTAAAATACAAAATTTCCATAACATCACCAAGCATACAACTATAATAAGTAGAGATTTTAAATTGAATTTAACTAAATTTAAATTAAATTGTTTACTATCAAAATTAAATTCAAAAATAAATCTATTTATAGTTTCTAAAAAAAAGTTGATATATTTAGAGATTTTATAAGTGGTAGGATATAAATATATTAATAAAATAATAAAATATATTTAATTACCTTTAATTTTGGAAATGATGACATGTTTTTTGATGATTTATTTTCACCAATCAATTTGTCACATGGGATGAAATTAAATACATCTCATCAACTGAAATTGCCATTATCAAGAAATTAAGGATGTAATTCAACTTTTATATATTATATAGATTCCATATATACCAACAAGGAAGAAGTTATATATCAGCAACCCGTAGCATTAAAACCGGACAATTCTTCCGAAAGAAAATGAGAAACAAGAAAAAAAGTTAAAGTTAGAAAAAACAAAAAATAAAGAAAAAGAAAAAGAAAAAGATAAAGAGATAGCTAAAGATGGTACGAAACGGTAAATATCATACGTAATTCAATCAGTGTGTAAGGTATATATATATATATATATACTAGTGAGGAGCACCGCGCAAGGCGCGGTGCCGGTGCTCGGATGGGCGGTGCTGATTAACAGGAACGTTCCATGCTAGATTATGCAATTTCTTGATGATTGCATCGACTTCAGCAAAAGGAATTTCGATAACTGATGTTTCCTTAACCAAGTACTAAGACTGAAGAATGTTCTTGTAAATTACGGTCAATACCAAATATGCTTTAGGTATATAAGCAGTAATTTCAAATACAAATGTTAATCATACTGTCACAACTCTACAGATAAGTCACCCTTACTGCCGTACCACCGTACAAAACTGTACATAACCCGTGGAACAACAATAAATGACAAATAAAACATCTATTGGAAACAATAACCCGACATAGTTGAATGAAAAATAACAAAATAATGTCTTCACATATCTACGATAGAAAATAAAAAATCTATAACTAAAACATTGATCAAAGGGCTCAGTTCATATCGAAGAAACACGACCGTAACCGAGTTTGAGCATATCAAACTGCATTACGTGAATATCTCGTCCCAAACTGCATTAAAATTTTCAAATGGTAAACCAAAGAAGAGGCTTACAGCATATCGCTCTTCTAGTGGTCTAAGCTCTCTCGATAGGATTGAGTCTACAACTACCATGTCTTAAATTAACATTGATCTTTCTAAAAGAGTGTCATTTACACAGAAAAAGATCATAAGAAACGGCTTCGCGAACATAAAGAGAGGAAAAAAAGAGCGAGAAAAGAAAAAAGGGAAGCAACTCGACGACATTCGGTAATTCCGTAAAGAAGAAGGAAAAAAAGATTACAGAAGCACAATTTTTTTGAATTACTTCATTGACAACAAAAGTTCATCCACAAATCAATGGAATGATTTACCTTGGAAATTATCGCAAGTCTTTCAAAGATTAGTGCTTTCAATAGGATAGTCAGATGTAAGTCTATGTTAGCCTAATCAAAACACCTGTTTTGCAATAATATAAATAAATTATATCAGTACAAAGCATACACAGAAGAACTACCGAAGTGAGCAACCATTGCATGTTGGGAATTTAAATCAATAGAAACAAAGATAGCACACCTATCTGACCAAGCAGCTCAACTTTGATTCCATTGTGCTCTACTTTCTTCCCTGAAACTGGTTTAACAGAAATCTGAAAACATGCTGAAAACATGACATGGCAAGGTATCACCATGATTAGATAATCGAATCTGAAATAGCTTTGAACCTAAATTGGTAATGGCAATGTTAATAACACCACAGCAAAATACCTTCCCATATATGTTTTCGTGATTGTGAAAGAGTGGGACCATTACTGTTTGACCATTCTCCGTCTTCATTGACACCTACAGTAACATTTATACAAGCAACAAAAAAACGATGAGTATGTCCTACCAGTATGTCATACATGTACTCACAAAAATAATTCAAGAATTTTGTCGCGCCGATATGCGACAAAAAAAACTACAGATATTTGCTAACAATGAAAACTGAATACCTACATCTACAATCACCACTCAGTAGACACGATTATGCACTAAAAACAAGTGCAATTGGAAGGAACAACATAATTATAACAAGCGAGACGATAAGCACGCATACAATGCTAATCCGAATGCTAGAGCGATTAGGTAATATATGGTAAACCTTTTTTACTCTGTAAAGAAGATTCTAAAAGTTCAGCGGAATTCTAGAGGATAAAACAAACCTGCTTTCGAGATTTCGCACCCGAAAACATAAATGAAACATAGCATGCCGGCTTAAATGCTCCAACTAAAAAAATATAAAATAAAAATTGACATGTTCTTCAATGACAAAACAGGACCAAGAACAATAATATTTAAGAATGTCGAGCAAGGGTTGAAACTTTACCATTGCTGAAAATTAACTCAAAATTAAATCAAATCACCAGCAGAAGCACCTGCAACAAAATTATTTCAGAATTATAACTGGATATGAAACAAATCCACGAAACATCACATCCAAAGAGCATAAACACTGCTCAATAATTCGTGAAT